GCTCAGGGATGAGGTCAGGAGTAGGTATTGTTTTGAAGTTGTCTATATTTGGACAGAGAAGAGTCTCTCCTGTCAGTGAGCAGCAAGGGCAAGACTCTTCCCTACATCAAGACAGGCCTGGAGATGAGGGAGACATCATGGCTGGCAGCACAATTGCCTCTCCAGTCAGGTCACAACCCCACGGTATCTGATCAAGGCAAGCAGGACAGGTCAGGGGGTGGTGGCCTGCAGTCAAGCTAGGAAGTCAAGCCATTGATCAGGATGAGGTTCAGGTCCAGTGATCACTGAGCAGGCCCACAGTGATAAAGACATGCCAAAGTCAAGTGAGGTAGTCAGTTTGCAGTTGAGGTCCAGATCAAAGGGGCCCATGACCAGAGAAGAACATGGGCATAGTCATGGTCTGGAGACGAGTAATACTATAGAACAGGGTAGAGTAGAGACTCAACACTTAAAGCTCCTGGGTCCATGACTGTGAATGGAGGCCTGCGCTAAGGCTGATCAGGGCCATTTAGCTTTATTAATTCTCTCATGCCTTTGGCATCTCCCAGAATACAAGAACAGTTAAAATTACTCTATGAATCTAAGTAGAATTAGGCCTGAGGGGAGATAAACCAGAAGTATGTTCTGAAGTTTGATTTCATAGAATCATAGAATCATAGAATCATAGAACGGTTTGTGTGGAATAGCCCTTAATGATCATCCAGTTCCAACACCCCTGCCATTGCAGAGACACATTCCAAGAGATAAGGTTGATCAAAGACCCATCTGAATGGAACTTGCTGAAGACTTAGAAGAGGATAAAACACTATTGATGTGCTGGGTACCAAGTTTCATCTCAGTCTGCTCTGAGATCTCTCATGTGTAGTAGCTTTACCAATGACCCGAGAAGGATACAATATGCACCTCCTCAAGTTTCAGGAAAACACGAAAACAGAGGGATGCAGTCAATTCGTTCAATGGGCAGACTGCCGTTTCAAAGAAGCAAGACTGAAATGCCAATTCCTTTGGCATTGGAGGAACAAGCCAATATTAAATGCCCAGATCTGTCCTGATAGAAGGAAATATGGGACAGACTAACCCTTTCCAATGGTAACAGAGGAGAATGACTGACTGGGTAGCAACTCTGCTGAAAAGGATCTGCAGACCTTGGTGAACAGCAGGTCAGATGTGATCAGCAGTGAGTCCTGACAGCGTGACAGGCTAACAGCACTTGGGGTTGTGTCAACAGGAGAACAGGCAATTGACAGACTCATTAGATCAGCACTCATCAGATCACACCTGGAATATTGCATCCAGCACCCTGCCACCCCGTACAAGGGAAACAGAGACTTTCATGACCTCAGCAGAGACACTAAGATGGTTGGGGGATGGAGCACCTGAGCTGTGAGGACAAACTGAGGAAAGTGGCTCTAGGTTTCTGTCCATCATTTATTTCACACCCCTGCACCTGACAATGCACAGAGTTGCTCCTTTGCTCTAGCCCAAGGATTTCCCTCCCCACAGAGAAACTTTCCCTAAGGCACTCTCCATGCTGGCCTGCTGGCGACTCTGGCCCCCTCCCTCTGCTCTCCACAGGCTCACAATATTTCAGTGTTTTTCTGCAGAGCAAGTGAGTTGTGGTGCCCAAAAGACATGTGGAGCCAATCCCAGACAGATCCCTATTGATAGAATCATAGAATCATAGAATGGTTTGGGTTGGAAGGGACCTTAAAGATCACCTAGTTCCAACCCCCCTGCCATGGGCAGGGACACCTTGCACTAGACCAGGTTGCTCAAAGCCACATCCAGCCTGGCCTTGAACACACCCAGGGATGGGGCATCCACAACACATCTGGGCAACCTCTTCCAGTGCTTCACCACCATCTCAGTGAAGAACTTCTTTCTGATATCTAATCTAAATCTCTCCACTTTCAATTTAAACCTGTTACCCCTTGTCCTGTCACTACAGGCCCTTGTAAAAAGTCCCCCCCAGCTTCCTTGTAGCCCCCTTCAGGTATTGGAAGGCTGCAATGAGGTCTCCTCGGAGCCTTCTCTTCTCCAGGCTGAACCAAGCTCAACTGTCCCAGCCTGTCCCCATAGGAGAGGTGCTCCAGCCCTCGGAGCATCTTCGTGGCCCTCCTCTGTACTCGCTCCAACCGGTCAACTGATCATTCACCATCTGCAGGAGGATTGAGAACCCATTGATGAAAGGTGAGCCCAGGACCATTCCCTAATACATCACCTCAAGTCCTCGTCCCCTGAGCTCATGAAGAACCCAGCAAAAGCAACATGACCTACTAGGAGCAATTTCTTCAGCTTGACCTTAGATCTGAAAGAAGAGCCCAACTTCCAGAAAATGGCATTGAGAAAATCCCCTTTTATTGCAGAGGTGTTATATGGGAGGCCAGCTGAACCATTGTGCCAGACTGGTGGAAAGGCGTGTGGGTGAGTCAGGCTGGGTTCATGCCCCTGGTGAAGCAAAGTGGATGCAGACAACTGTGGACAAACAGGATTATCACAGATAAAATCCCCAAAGAGCAAAAGCCTCCCGAGGTGAATTTGACTGACTTCTGAAGAGACATGAGAAAGTTAATGCTGCTGAGACACTACTGACAAAATCAGCTTCTTCAATGTGTCTTTAAGTTCCTGGTTCCTCATGCTGTAGATGAGGGGGTTGAATGCTGGAGGCACCACTGAGTACAGAACGGCAACCACCATATCCAGAGATGGGGAGGAGATGGAAAGGGGCTTCAGATAGGCAAACATGGCAGTGCTGAGAAATAGGGAGACTACAGCCAAGTGTGGAAGGCATGTGGAAAAGGCTTTGTACCGTCCCTGCTCAGAGGGGATCCTCAGCACAGCCCTGAAGATCCGCAGGTAGGACAGAACAATGAAAACAAAACACCCAAAGTCCACACAGGTACTAAACACAATAATCCAAACCTCCCTGAGGTAGACATCTGAGCAGGTGAGCTTGAGGATCTGGGGGATTTCACAAAAGAACTGCTCCACAGCATTGCCCTGGCATAATGGCAGTGAAAATGTATTGGCCGTGTGCAGCACAGAGGGGAGAAACCCACTACCCCAGGCAGCTGCTGCCATGTGGGCACAAGCTCTGCTGCTCAGGAGGGTCCCGTAGTGAAGGGGTTTGCAGATGGCAACGTAGCGGTCATAGGCCATGACAGTGAGAATAAAATACTCCCCTAGCATCAAGAAGGGTAAGAAAAAGACCTGTGCAGCACATCCCAAGTAGGAGATTGCCTTGGTGTCCCAGAGGGAATTGGCCATGGATTTGGGAACAGTAGTAGAGATGAAGCCCAGGTCGAGGACGGAGAGGTTGAGGAGGAAGAAGTACATGGGGGTGGGGAGACGGTGGTCCCAGGCTATGGCGGTGATGATGAGTCCATTGCCCAGGAGGGCAGCCAGGTAGATGGCCAAGAAAAGCCAGAAGTGCAGGAGCTGCAGCTCCCGTGTATCCATGAATGCCACTAGGAGGAACTCGGTGATAGAGCTGCTGTTGGACATGTCACCTCTGGGCATGGGGATCCGTGCAAGTATGAAATATCATTGATGAGTTAGAGGAGTTTTTTTCTGACTTACACCAAAGCCATTTCCTACTGTTCCTCCCCTTGCTACATACCCCAGCCCCTCATTTTCATTTTCTTGTAGTCCTTGTTTTAGCCCCTTGGCTAAAGTTATGGTTTGGTTCTGGTTGGATGTGCTGTGAGGAGCTGGGCACCTGTTTACTGGCTGCTGATCTGTCAGCCCTGCTATACACAGTAAGTTCATGGGAACTTTGGAATCAGGGGCCAGTTCTTATGTTCAACGTTGTCATTTGAAACCACATCTAACATGGAAGGGATTTTCAGTATCTGGACTCCTTTTTCTAAGGAGCGAGAATGGCAGAAAGCAGATTGATAATTTTTGTTTGTTTATTTGATTTTTGTTTGGTTTTTAAATTCCCTTCATCTTATTCAAGGGTTTCTTTAGGATGTCAGAAACCCCCAGCATTTTTGTTACGTTCATGGAGAACAGAGTGAGTCCGGGAAATCAAAAGGATTAGATTAGAGGAGATTGAGGGCAGCTGGTTATTCCTTCAGTCATAGACACGCTGGGCTTGCATCTTTCTGAGACAGAGGGCTATCACATGACTATTTTAATGTGAAAATCCAGCAGATACTTCTTAGAGCAGAGGGATCCACTGCAGACCACAAACTGTTTCATACTTTCTCGAGGCTTCAGCACCCTGCCCAGGACACTCATGGCTCATTTCACTCACCCAACAGCATTGCCTTGGTCACAACACCTCTGTGCCTATCTGTGGGGATTTCAGATAACACAGAGATGCTCTGGGACAGATTTGCATCCTGGAGGTCTGTTCAACCCTTGGAAAGATATCTAAAGGAGGTATGTGTTTGCATGATGGTACCTCACTAAGGGAAAACCAGCTCATTCCTCAGCCTCACAGACTTAACTGTTCACAGCACCAGAGATGAGAGTAAACCTGGGACCCTTGTTCCCATGGACACACCTGCATGAAAGGACCCATAAGGCCAGTGTGTGACTCTGCAGGTCAAACACCGATCCCCAGAGAGCCTGACAGTCAGAACACGATAACAGCAGCAGTAACACAGACAAGTGGTGAAACAAAGCAGAATACAGTGAGGGTCTGGCTGAGAGAGGCCAGGGCAGAGGCAGCTGGGCCCTCAGGACAGTGTTACCCTCACCCAGCTCTGCTCATCACCTCCCAGACACAAACACTGCCAGGCAGCTGCTCACAGTTACTCTGTGCTCTGCAGAGGCAATGGACACATGGCTGGAGAGCAGCCCCGCAGCTCTGAGGGAGCTCTGCCTGCAAAGACGGGGCTCAAACCTTGGCCCCCACAGCCCTGAGGGCAGAGCTTCTGATGGGTGGGAAGGGAGACAAAGGGGATTGCTCAAAGGAAGGGTTCTGCATTGAAGGGCAGCACACAGATATGTCTGAGTTCTCCCTCCCACACCATTTTGGGGTTTAGTTAACTCTCATTTCCTGATTGTATCTGTGCTGCTTTGAGAGTCTCACCCTGGGATTTGCTTCCCTGTGCTATGTCTTTTCCTTGTCAGCTCTCACAGGCCCCATCCCAACCTCTGTGCACTCTCTCTGTCCCTACAGAATCCTGCCTGTTGGCAGGTCACAGTAAGTGCACATGTTCCTGTTTTGATGTTCCAAAGGGCAGGTCAGAAACACCCTGATGGTTCCAGGAAAGGTGATGTTGGTGCTGTCCACAGGCAATAGGTTGCTGAATGCCCTGAAGAAGGCTGTGAGTAGACCTACTGACCACACAGATTTACAGATCTAGAGTTTCAATGACTTCTTCAAACATAATTTCCCGTTCTATTTTTCTTCCCATCACCCACCTTCACTCTCCCTCCTGTCCCCTGCCCTCAGAGTAGGGAACTGAAAACACAGACTTGGGAAATCTCTATACTTATAGCAATGCCTGCCTTGACCTTCTTCTTGAAACATCCCCTTGGACATTCTGTTGTGATGATCTGGAACTGTGACCCATAGAGAACTCTCTTGATAGGAGAAGGACCATGTCTTGCTCTAAGTTGTGAATTCCTCCCACAGTTTCTCCATGCAGTTCCATGGAGAGCTCCCCGGGCAGGCTGAGTGCCAACATCAGCAAGCAGCGGGGACCCTGCCCCACCACACAGCCCCTGGGGTGCCCAGACCTTGCTCCAAAGTACATCCCCAGGCACCCCTGCCTGCACACCCCTGTAGTCACCCCCAGCAGAAGGCAGCTGCCATGCCCTGCCCCTCTGACTGCTGCAGGAGATGCCTGCTCAGGAGCATGTTTTCTACAGTATAAAAACTGTGAGAGACAACCTGACAGATCCTGGAAACTGTGGGATGTACCTGCTTCAGGAGATCCCTCCAAGAACTGCACATGCATTGTCCTGCAACCACAGACTTACCATGTCAAGGTCTGTGAAGGTTTCTCCCACAAGGAGCAATCATGATCCCTATCCTCCCACCCCCAGCTGCCTTTAATCTCTATCTACCTATGTTCTCTCCCCTGGGTGCCTGCAGGCAGTGCCCTCAGCCCTGACGCAATTTGCAGAGGAGCTGCTCTGGGCAGAGCTGTCTCTCTGCAGTGCTTCCCACATGCCATGAGCTCCCTGTGTCCCAGGAGCTCAGCCCAGCTCAGCAGCAGAGGTCCAGCCCAAGGAGGCATTTTCTCTCCCCAGTCTGGGCTCCCTTGAAGTGTCCCTGGGGCTCCAGGGGAACATACAGTGAAACAGGCTGAAGAAATCACTGATCTTCCTTCACTCAGCTGGGCAGTATCTGTTTCAGCAGTGGCATTTCTCCTATCAGGAAAAGATTTAGAACCCAAAACTAGCATTTTGTGACCAATCTTCATACTGGGAACCAGAATGAGAGAGGGAGCTAACTCATTTACCCATGCTGAGGGAGAGGATTCAGTCAAGTCAGTGGAGGCATCTCATCCTGGGTTTGTAGTTCTGGGGCTGGAAGGAGATTCAGCTCCCTCCCATGCCTGCCAAAAACCCACAAATTGTGCAATTCCTCTTTCCTTCCTTCAGGTGGTCATTAAATAGGCACCTGCCTGTGATCCCCTTGTCTCAGCTGCCATGCTAATTACTGGAGATGGAGGCCAGGAGTGAGCTGTTCAGATGCAAATGTCTCAGGATATCTAAGGGTTGGTTGAAAATATGTGCAAGTACTTGCAAACCCCAGTGGAGCAGAGTTCATATGTTAGCGTAGCCACCACATAACCACGGAGTGATTATATGCAGGTGCTTTTATTCAGCGCTGGTAGCCGGGGTACGCACCCAAATCTGGCTACAAATCCCGTCACATC